TCCTGCTTTCTCCCTTTGAGCTACAAGTCTATTGAAATGTCTGAGTGACCTATAAACCCCTAAAACACAAAGGCAACAAAATGCGTTCTTCATTTTAGATGTAATATCATGGTTTCTACCCAACCAGTATACCATCTATCTACTTTGGACCTTGCACGTGTACCACAGGCAGCCTTACAGCATTTAAAGTGAAGCGATCTTAGGAGTGAGCGTGCATTTATATTACTTATGTTGTGTGCACATAAATCTGTTGTAGGGACCTCCTCCCTTTGGCGACAAAGAGAAAGTCCCTGTAAAGTTAATCATTAAGTGTGTGCGTGCGCATGTCTGAAGCATGTGTATGTGTTTGGTGTCTCGGTGTGTCTGTGTGCTAGCGGCCTCAGCATTGATCTCTGTGTAAGCCTTGGTCATCGCTTGTGGCCTGAAGGTGAGGTGACAGGGGAGTAAAGAGGCTTTCATCAGATTACAGCTCATTCTCTGTCTTTCACCATCTCTCTTTCCAGCATCATTTGTCTTACTGCTGCTTTCAACTACTTTGCTCCTTCTCTCTCTCTTTCTCTCCTGCTGAACACAAGACCTACTTTAAGCCACAGCGTTAAAATTCCTCTTCAATCCCTCACAGATTCATTTGTCTTTGCCCAAATGTCCCAAATGAGCTGATGTATGACTACATATCACAATGCACGCTAACAATCCACAAAAAGGAGAATATGCACTGCAATGCCTTTTCACATATATTTATGCAAACTCTTAGTCTTCTAAGAGTCCATCAGGTCAACTCGTTTGACTCTCAGTGTTTAACTGCAAAATATAGACATTTCCATTGTAAATGTAGTCTTAAAATACTGGGTTATGAGATGAAACCAGAAAGCTATTGATACCAAAATCCTTGTCCCTTCCTTACATATTAAGATTAAAAGTTAAGATATCTGTTTATAGCAACTGACAAACAGCATTTTTCCTGTTTACACATCAGTTAGACATTGAGTGACATTTGCATAAACAGCCATATTATAGGTTACTTAACAAAGTCCAAACACCAATTTCCTTTGAGTTTTGATTTGTCTTAGTCTGCCAATTGATGATGGGCATACAGTGCATTTATCTTAAGTTAATTGTTGAAAACAGCTGCCAACAGTTGCAAAGTGGCTGCCGAGATTGGCAAGACTGAACCGAAACAGTAACAATGTGCCAAAGCAATTTACAAGAAAACACTGCAGAGCCAGGTGATCATTCACAAAAGCCCCTTTTTCATTGCTGATACAAAACCCAAGCGACAATATCCACTATATACATACAGACATTGTGAATAAATGCATTTAATTTATTTCCATGACAGAAAACTAGTGTGGTGATGTGAGCACACAACTGTAGTCTGTGGCACACAGTTTCTCTGTAGAAAGCCTTGTCTTCTATCTCTCCCTGATTCTATTAGCTGGGCTCCTCACACTTCAGTCTCTCTGTAGACCCGTCCTGAATAACTGCATTCAGTTGCAGCACTACTCTCCCTTTACTCTGTTTGGCACCATTTACATTGATAACACCATGTGTGACAAATGTCCAACGGCCTCACACATTCTGTGACCAGATTTGAATTTTAAAAAAAATATAAGCTCTGGTCTAATACACATACAGTTCTGAATGATGTGCATCTGCATG